ATAATAAATTCTATCCAACTATAAAAATATAAAAATTAAGAAAAAAAATGATTAGCTAATTGCTTGCTTCCTTAATTACATAATTGTTAGTTGTCACAAAAATAAACACGTAAAAGCAATTTTGAAGTAAATAAGTTTAGTAAATTATTTGTGATTGTGTTAAATAATAAACACACCGTTTTGCGCTTTTTGAATTTACAGCTCTTTCACATTATTGTGTTATATTATTACACCTTGCAATATTTTTAGCATTGCTAATTGTTCTAAAAAAAAATGGGCCGAACACAGGTTCGAACTTGGGTTTTTTGAGTTGGTAAATTATTGCAATTGCTTCCTTGATTAAAATTAATTGATTTAATATTGCTTAATTGACGATTTTGATTAATATGCAGTTTGTTATCCTTATCAGTTTCACAAAATGTTTGGTGGCAATAATTACATAATACATACAAATCGTAAAAACAACAAAATCCTGGTCGTTTTCTCGTTAAAACTTACTACTTATAAAGAATTTTCTCCTGATTTTATTTTCAATTTTTCTATAAATATTATTTTTTCTAATTTCTTTACTATTTTCTACCTCCTCAAATATAATTTTTTCAGTTTCGTCTAAAGGACCATTTTTTATTTTTCTACTTGTTTAAAGCTTCATAATTTACCTCAATTTCTCTACTACTTTCCATTTTTTTATTTAGTTACAAATATAAAATTTTTATTTACTGTTTTCTTTAATTATTTGTAATTTTTTTATTTTATTTTCTCTAGAGTTTTATTCTCACCTGAGGATGACCACTTTGTGGTCGAAACGCGTTGTGCTATTAAAATAAAAGTTTGGTGTGACGGGCTAATCGTGTTTTTGTTCATTATTTTCTCTAGTTTTCCCTCAAAGCATATTTTCTAAATGTTTTACTATTTACTTCCTCAAAGATTTTTTCAATTTCTCTAGATTTTCCACCTCAAATCTGTTTCTTTTCTTAGTTCCGCCACAAAAGTTATTATTTTTATACTTTTTATGACTTGGTAATTCACCTCAATTTCTCTACTACTATCAGTTTTTTTCAAGTTTTCAATTTTTGTTTTCCAAAAACACACTCAAACCTCTTATTATCTATAATTAATTTCTCAAAAATTCTGGTAAAAAATGAAAAGTACCTAAAACAACTATTTCACATACTATTTTATTGAGTCTGAAAAAGACTTATTGAAGGGGCTTAAATGAATCCGTAAAATAGCATCTACAAAAAAGTAACTATTTTCGAATTTGAATTTTTTAAATTTCTAAATGCTTTTAGAGATGCTACAGCCAAATTCAGTAGTAGTTTAATAAAAATAAATATTTTTTGAAAAACGTTAATGAGAATTAATTCTCATTTGATGAAATATTGTACTAGTTTTGTATTTTGTTTTTTTTTTTTTAAATGACGCTTGTACGTTGTTCTTTTTTTTGATAATCAATTAAAAATAATTTACTCAAACTAAGTATTTTTAAATAATTAAATTCTATCTAACTTCAAACATACACAAATTAAGAAAAAAAATGATTAGCTAATTGCTCGCTTCCTTAATTACATAGTTGTTAGTTGTCACATAAAAACAAACACGTAAAAGCAATTTTGAAATAAAAAAAATGTGTTGCTTTGCGCTATTAAATTTGCAACTCTTCAAAATTATTGTGTTATATTATCATTTATCACACCTTGAAATATTTTTAGTACTACTAACTGGTCTTAATTAAAAAAAAAAAAAATGGGCCGGACACGGGTTCGAACTCCGATTTTTTGAGTTGCTAAATCATGCAATTGTTTCCTTGACTAAAACTAATTGCCTTAATTTTGCTTAACTGATAATAATTTATTATCAGTTTCACAAAATATTTGGTGGCAATTACATAACCGTTTGAATATTTACAAAACCTTGGTTAAAACTTACATGTTAAAATGGTGAGCATCATCGTCGACATCATGTGATGCATAAGTATGGTGAATAGCAAATTGTAATTATCTAAAACTTTGGTACCATCAGAGCCCGCTTGCCAGTACAACGTGCCCAACATCAGTCCAACCGAAAAGTTGACCATGAGGCGCATATGGGTCAAACTCTTAAAAATCATCATTAAAAATTTCTCAAAATCGTTTTTTTTTCACTTACTTGATCACGTTTCGTTTTGATGTACCCTCGCCGTAGCAGCACCTTCAACTGATTGTAAGAACTGGTAGCTTGTAGTCCCGATTCATCATCCGAGGCGCTTTTCTCCGAATTACCAGCTACGAAAACCAAAAAATTACAAAAAAAAGTCATGGCGTGACAACTTGACAAATTTTATATCATTTTGTTCGTCTCAGTGAGGCAAATCAAATGCACTAAAAAAATTAAAAAGTCCACACACTTGGAACTAAATATTTTTTTCTAATTTAAATGAATATAAAATACTTTAATTTTAAAAAATCATTACTCAATAACTATTAGGCCGATTTGCTTCAAATGAAGACCGTTCTAAGGGGATGGCCTTGCCCTTAAGAATGATATAAAATTTGAAATTGAATATTGGCAAACTTTTCTTCGAACAGTGTTCGAAGAAGTTCGAAGTAAATCGAAATAATCTAAGAAAAACCCCACGAGTAATTTTTTTTTCATCATTACCATCATGTAGAGCATCTCTTTATTAGTTGTAATCCAATTTTTCAAAAGAATATACCGAGTAGTTTTTAAGATATGATTTTTTGAAGTTAAGGTTTGCTAATCAAGCATTGCTCCATATAGGAGAAACATGTTAATCTTACTTAAAATTGCATTTTTATAAAAGTATTTGTTTTAAGACTCTTCTTTTGCTTAAAAATGGTCAATTGCACCTTCTTTGTTCTAATTAGAATAAACAAAAACTGTTTCTTTACTTAAAACAAACAAAGAGTACTTGCGTACTAATTAAAGCAAATAAAGAGTTTTTTTGTTGTAAAAATGACCACTGATTATTGTGCAAAAAGGATCTAGAAGTTTAAAGCAGTAGCTTTAAATATAAGAACAAATCTTTTTCAAATTAAATGACATTCCATTCAGATTCCAACTTGTTCACTTTGTTCTAGCTTTCTGAACTTTTTTTGAAAATGTTCTAAGCAAATGCTTTTTCATCAGTTTCAAGTGATGTTAAATACAATAAGTCACCTGATTTATTTTGTTGGTACGATTAGCTTCAGTTAGCTTGTAGATAGTAGTTGTTGTGATAACAGTTGCACACGAAGCAACTGACTTATTGCATTCAACATCAATAGAAAGTGATGAAAAAGCATTTGCTGAAAACATTTTCAAAAAAAGTTCAGAAAGCTAGAACAAAGTGAACAAGTTGGAATCTGAATGGAAAGTCATTTAATTTGAAAAAGATTTGTTCTTATATTTAAAGCTACTGCTTTAAACTTCTAGATCCTTTTTGCTCAATGATCATTGATCATTTTTAGAACAAAAAAACTCTTTATTTGCTTTCATTAGTACGCAGGTACTTTTTGTTTGTTTTAAGTAAAGAAACAGTTTTTGTTTATTCTAATTAGAACAAAGAAGGTGCAATTGACCATTTTTAAGCAAAAGAAGAGTCTGAAAACAAATACTTTTATATAAATGCAATTTTAAGTAAGATTAACATGCATTTCTCCCATATGGCGCAATATCTGAAAAGCAAACCTTAACTTCAAAAAAACATATCTTAAAAACTACTTGGTATATTATTTTAAAAATTTGGATTCTTACTAATAAAACGATGTTCTACACAATGGTGACAAAGAAAAAAAAATACTTATAGGGTTTTTCTTAGATTATTTCGATTTACTTCGAACTTCTTTGAACACTGTTCTAAAAAAAGTTTGCCTATATTTAATTTCAAATTGCATATCATTCTAAAGGGCAAGTCCATCCCTTTAGAATGGTCTTTATTTAAAAATAGTTATTGAGTAATGATTTTTTAAAGTTATAGTATTTTAAATTCATTTAAATTAGAAAAAAATTATTTAGTTGAAAGTGTGTGGATTTTTAAATTTTTTTTAGTGCATTTGATTTGTCTTAGTGAGACGAACAAAATGATATAAAATTTGTCAAGTTGTCATGACTTTTTTTTGTCGCCCTGTGTAATTCATTGCAACAGACCGCTTGTCGCAGGTGGTTATCATTGACGGGTGAAGGTGAAAAGTTAAATTCTTTGATTAGTAATAAACTAATAAATTTAGATCACTTGCTTGAAGAATGATTAAAAAACGCAAATAATCACATCTGTTTGTTAATTAATCATGAATAAATGTTTACATTTCTGTATCTCTACTAACCGATTGGTCGTTTCAATGTTGGTACTATTTCTTTGTCAAAGTACGCCACCGAACTCCCATTATCAGTGGTGGCAACCATCGTGTCAATTATCTCATGTCCGTACTCCTCGCATGCTAATTCGATAACAAAGTCGGCTGGATTGTGGTACTGGGGACATGGGTACTTAACGTCGTTCAAGAACGGTACCAGATTCATGGTACTGCCTTGGTACAAGCACCGCCCAGCAGCCAGGACGTAAACCTGGTCGAAAAGTTGGAAAAGCGAGGCTGATGGTTGATGGATGGTACAAACAATGGTTCTCCCTTGTCGCGCCAAATCCTTGAGTAATTTAATGCATTGGGAGCAAGAAGAGCTGTCCAAACCGCTAATAGAAAAATTATTAAAATTTCGGTAGTAATAAAGCGATAATTCAATTTTGATCAGTATACAATGAAAAAGTTTTAAGTTTTAACGGTGAGCAAAACGCAAATAAAAAAATATAGACAGATAGAGCATTAAATTCTCAATAATAAGAGATAATGGTAATGCAAAAATTTTATTGAAAATTGTTTCGTTTTTATTGTTACAAATTTGAACAGGTAGAAGGATATTCAATTTTAAGACAAAAGTGTCCTATAAATATGTATCAAAAAATGTTTTGTAAAGGAGCTACACCCTCTGAAAGGGGTGCGTTTTTCAATGAAAAAGACCTTTTTTGTGAAAAACTATGGAATTTAAAATTTTGTTGTTGAAAGTGGCAAGAAAATAATTAGAGTACTTTTTATCCTAACCCACAAAAAATATACCATTTTCAACTTAATTTGCAAATTTTTTGGCCCATTCGGGTGAAATTTTACTTGAAATAGACAAAAACAGCGTCGTTTTCGACCCCTAATTTAGTTATTTTAGCAAAATTTTGTGAAAAAATCAGTTTTGGCTCGAAAACGTTTTTATTCGCTTGAAAATAGATGAAAATAAAATAATTTTTTTCCTAATTAATTTTTGGGCATGTTTTGATAAAAAACAATTAAGATTTTTACTCACAAATGGCAAAAAACACCATTTTTTTATCTAATTAGAAGATCTCACGCCTTGCTTGACCAAAATGTTGTAAAAAGTGCATTTTTAACTGAAAAAGTCAAAAATAATATTTGGTCATTTTTTTCCAAAAATGTTGCAAAAAAAAAACAGTTTTTAACTCAAAATATGTTACACGCTTTAAAAGATGCACTAACCTGGTTTTTTTGGCTGTGAATGAAATTTTTTGAAAAAAAGTAGATTTTTAGGTCACCAAACTAAATCCAGTGAAACAGACCAAAATAGAGCGATAATTTGAATTTAGTTTAGTGTTTTTGTGGCCTATTTTAGCAACATTTTGCCAAAAAAAGAAGTTTTTATTTCAAAAATGTATTTAACTGCTTAAGAAAGCCAAAATAGCACAATTTTTATCGATTTTTCAACTGCTTCGGACAAAATTTTGCAAAAAAATTGCTGAAGAATTTTCTCAAACGTTTGAGAAAGTGAAAAATATAATATTTTCGATTTCCTTTCGTGTTTTTATCTTGTCTCGATAAAGTCTTATTCAAAATTTCAGTTATCTTAAAAACATACTAAAACGCTTAAAAAAGCAAAAATAGTATGAATTTCGACCAAACTTGACCGTTTCTTTCGGTAGAAAACACCACAAAACATGTGTACTTAACATAAATATTAGAAAGATTTTACTCAAAAAGGGTAAGTTGTATCTAAAAAACGCAAGAGACCTCTTTTTTGGTAAAAACTATGAAATTTAGAATTTTGTTGTTGAAAGTGGCAAGAAATTTTGGCCGAAATAGTTAGAGTACCCACAGTTCAAAAAAATATACCATTTTCAACTTAATTTGCTTATTTTTGGCCCATTTGGGTGAAATTTTACTTGAAATAGACAAAAACAACGTCGTTTTCGACCCCTAATTTAGTTATTTTATCAAAATTTTGTGAAAAAATCAGTTTTGACTCGAAAACGTTTTTATTCGCTTGAAAATAGATGAAAATAAAATATTTTTTCCTAATTAATTTTTGGGCATGTTTTGATAAAAAACAATTAAGATTTTTACTCACAAATGGCAAAAAACACCATTTTTTTATCCAATTAGAAGATCTCACGCCTTGCTTGACCAAAATGTTGCAAAAAAGTGCATTTTTAACTGAAAAAGTCAAAAAGAATGTTATTTGGTCATTTTTTTCCTAAAATTTTGCCAAAAAAAAACATTTTTTAACTCAAAAACATATTAAGCGCTTTAAAACTTGCACTAACTTGGTGGTTTTTTAGTTGTGAATGAAATTTTTTGAAAAAAAGTAGGTTTTTAGGTCACCAAACTAAATCCAGTGAAACAGACCAAAATATAGCGATAATTTGAATCTAGATTAGTCATTTTGTGGCCTATTTTAGCAACATTTTGCGAAAAAAAGAAGTTTTTAGTTCAAAAATGTATTTAATTGCTTAAGAAAGCAAAAAAAGCACAATTTTTATCGATTTTTCAACTGGTTCGGACCAAATTTTGAAAAAAATTGCATTTCTGGCTGAAGAATTTTCTCAAACGTTTGAGAAAGTGAAAAATATGATATTTTCGATTTCATTTCGTGATTTTATCTTGTTTCGATAAAGTCTTATTCAAAATTTGAGTTTTTATCTTAAAAACATACTAAAACGTTAAAAAAAAAACAAAAATAGTATGATTTTCGACCAAACTGGAACTTTTTGTTCGGTAAAAAACACCACAGAACATGTGTAACATAAATATTAGAAAGATTTTACTCAAAAAGGGTAAGTTGTATCGAAAAAACGCAAGAGACCTCTTTTTTGTTAAAACTATGGAATTTAGAATTTTGGTGTTGTTATAGCACTTTCTACCCTAAACCCCCCCAGTTTAGGACGCCTCTGATTAAAAATTTCAACATAAAGGTAATCAACTGTACCAAATTTTGTACTTTTATGTAAAATGGCTTCTGAAATATTAGACAAAATTCATTAAAACATACACCCTTTTCGGGAGTGTAGCGCCCTTCGCAGGTATTTTTCAAAACATGTTCATAGGAAACTTTTATCTTAAAATTGAATATTCTGTCACCTGTTTAAATTTGTAACAATAAAAATGGGACACCCTGTATTTAAAAAAAAAGTCAAACATTTAGCAATTTATTCTCCGTGTCATATTTTTGAAAATGAAAAGAAAGTTGTAGAGTATAAGATTTCGAAGAAAAAAGTCCCCAAGAGCATGTCTCTATCGTCAATAGTTTAGGTCCTAAAGACGTGTCTGCAATGAATACGACAGAAAATTAATTTAAACCTAAACGGTTGAAGATAGAGATATGGTCTTGTAAGAAATTTAATTCTCTACAACTTTGTTCCTTACACTTTTTTTGTATCTTCAACCGTATTTGTAGCGTTCTCAAAAATATCGAAAACAGTATTAAAAAAAAAATTTAATCAATTATCAGTTTGTGTTCCGCCCAATGTTTTTGTGAACACTGCGAATACGGTTAAAGATACAAAAAAAGTGTAAAAAACAAAATTGTAGAGAATAAAATTTGCTACAAAAAAGTCCACGAGACCATATTTCTATCTTCTTTGAGGCCTAAACCATTAAAGATAGAGGTATGGTCTCAGGGACTTTTTACTATAAAATTTTATTCTCATCTAAATTCACAGCATTTTGACCAATATGAAACGGAGCACAGATTGTGAAAAATTTAGTCGTTCGTTTTTCACAGCTTATTAAGAAAGTAAAACTGGACATTTTTGCATTTTTTCCAAGCAATTAGTACACTGGTTGAATTTAAATTAATTTAAAACGATTTGAAACTGAAACGTAAAACGCTCTAAACGCCCTTATTTTTAACTACTTTTTTTAGGTCCAAAAAATTGAGCAATTTTGTTTCTCGTTTCGTCTTCTAGTATGTAGTTCTCCGTAGTCACTATTTAATTAATTTTTGCACAGTAAAAAATAAAAAATTATCAGTATATATAAATATAATAATTACTATTGTTTCAGTAGTCAAAAAGTGCACTGTTATACAAGACATCGAAGAAATATCACTTTAATAATCACATTTGCGTTAAACTGAAGCCATTATTCTTTATTTTTACAATAAAATAATTCGAATTTCTACAACTTTAAATCCTGTACTTTCTTCGTTGCAGAAGTAAGAGAAAATTGTTCTACGTGTCTTAATTTTTGTGTAATAAATTTTTAAAAAGTGCATATTTTCGTCAAAAAAAGCAAAATCGACTAATGAAAGTTTAGTGTAAAAACATTGTTTTAAAAGGCTACATCTAAAAACGCTAAGAAACATATGGTGTTTCATTAAAAAAAAAACACAAGTTTGTATCGTAACTTATTTTTGGGACATGCTGTATGGTTGAAAATAATTTTAGATGATACACTAGATTACTATCTGTCAATGTCCTATACAATTTTTTTTTAATTTTACCATTTGTATGTATTAGCCCCTGCGCAAGAATGATTGTAGCAAGAGCTGGAAGCTGTGCACAAATGGTAATCAGTCAATTTTGTTTTTGAACGCTTTGCGATATCCCGATTTTGTTCGTAAATCTGTGAATATTAAATGAATTAGTTTTGCTAAACATTCATTCATTGTTTTTTGCATTTATTATTTTTCCTATGCATTTAATTTGTTCAGTGCGGTATTGTGCAACTTACGTTGTTGGTTCATCGAGAAACATGACAGTCGGGTTGTTTATTAGCTCCAAAGCGATGGAAAGTCGCTTTTTCTGCCCGCCTGACAACCCGGCCGCTTTCGTGTTCATTGTTTTGCTCAAACCCAACCATTTGAGGATTTCTTCAATCTGTAAACAATTTAATCTAATGAGGAATACGCAAAATATGTTTTATTGTCCTAGTTGTGCGCTTTCACGGGTCAAAGCAACTTGATAAGAGCAGCACGCGTACATGTTATCACTTTTTTGTACAAGAGAATGTTCATTTCCTTACACAACCTTGACTAAAATAACCAAGAAAGGTCAAGATAAACTCACCGTTTCTGTTTTTTCTCTTTGGGACACTTCTGGGCCGAGTTTAAGATCAGCAGCGATTTGCATGTTTTCGGAAGTGGTCAATAGGGGTTGAAGCCGGTCATCTTGCTGGATGTAACAAGACGATTTGCGAAATTGTTTCAAGTTTCGGGGAAAACCGTTCGCGTAGACGGTTCCTGTTACACCACGGATGCGGTAACCGCTGAGGATGTCAAGGAGGGTGCTTTTGCCGGCCCCCGAGGGCCCCATAATGGCGATGAGTTGTCCCGGGGGAAACCTCCCATTGACCCCATGGAGGATTTCCTTTGTCCCTGGAATTGGCATTACCTAATCTTATCACCGATAATTGAGATAACTACCTTTTCTAAACCCCAAGGAGGCCGTGTAGGTGATATCCTCGAATTGTAAGTCGATGGTTTGCTGCGGTGGTCTGGAAAAAGTGCCACTTTCCGTCTCTTCTTGCATCAAAGTCACTGTTTTTTCCGCACTGTTATATGTAACACTTTCACTTTCCTCCCGGTTGGCAGCTTCGTGCATTATGACTTCCATGGTTCATGGAAGAATGAACAAAAGTTGTTTGCGCTCGCGCTTATTTCTACTGAATTATTATCATCTTGCTTTGGTCACTTATATAGAGTGTGGAAAGTTAAACAGATTGGACCGCGATTAAAGTCCATTCCCGCTCCGAGAGTACTCGTATTGTCACAAATGTGATGTGCACAAACCCAATCATCAGCAGTTTTTTTTTATAAATAAACTATTCAGCGGTTTCGTCACAACTTAAATGCTACTTTAAACATATTAATTATGCATCAGGTATGGTACCTCGTTCAAGGCCCAGTTTCTGGTCTCTGACGTCGATGGGGAGTACCATGAAACGGTCTATAGGTCGACTGGAATCTGCTTTTGATTTGAAATGTTGTTTGTGACGTTTTAAAAATTTGTTTTTCCTCAAACGCATATTAGAGTCTATTGTTATAAACTTTACACAAATTAAATGGTAATTAACCATATTAACAACTTCTAGTTATCGCTACTTCCTCTCTTGTGATATAACTAGGCAAGAAATTTATTTTTTCGAAAGAAAACTGAACTTTAGAACATGTGTAATAATTTTGTTCGGTGACTAAGGTAGCGTCTCAATTATTTCAAAACTGGTGCTATTGATAGATAATAGATAAAATTGTAAGTACTTTATGATATGGTATTTGCACTTAAACACATAAAGGTTTTAAATTATTAAAACAAAGTTGGACATTTTTGTTTATTTTTATTTATAAAGAAATTAAGTAAGGTTTTTTTATCTGGTTTTGCCTTCAATTCAGACCACGAATCACAGGAAGACTTATAAACGTAACAAAATAAAAAACACAAACACAAACAGTTTATTTTTCTTCATCTTTTTTTTTCTTACTTGACTAAAGATGCCCCCATTAAAGAATCAGCGCAAAGTTTTAAAAATAAGTGAGTTTCTGCTTTAAAAATGTGGTAAACCGTTAGAATTGGCTGACATTGGCTAAAAAACGATGATTTTTGGCTTGTTTTTGGCTAAAATAAGTATGTTATGTTATGTTATGTCTCAAAAAATGAGGTAAACCTGTCGAAATTTATCGAATAAACGATTTTTGGGCCAGTTTACACAAATCTTTTTAGTTTCTGGCTGAAAAACGAGCAAAGTTTTGTTTAGTTTATTTTAGAAATATATTTTTTTAAATTGACAATATAATTAAAAACAGTGTATTATGTTATTAGAAATAGAAAAGAAATTGACCTAAAAATTCAGTTTTTAATGCAAAATTTGGCTATAACACGCCTTAAATACGACAAACTAGATTAAAATTAACATTATTTTGCTTTGATTTATTTTTTTAAAGCGAGTTTTGTCAATTTTTATTTCAATTCAGACTACAAATCACAGGAA